CATTGAATTTAAATTTTTTGATATAGATCGAGTCTGCAAATTTTTTAAAAAAAATTGAAAACCATTTGATACTTCATTTCGTTAATTCATATTGAAGGATAATCATAAAATCATTTTATAAGTTGATTTGAATTAATGAAACGAAGTATCAAATGATTTTTACATTTTTTTAAGAATTTATAAATTTGATCTATGCATTAAGAACTTTAAATTCAACAATTAAATCGTTAAATTTGATATAGAATACGAGTTATTGAACGGAATAAATTTGGATAGAATTACTCCTGAGGTAAACAAATCCTTTCTTATATATATATATATATATAGAGAGAGAGAGAGAGAGATATATATATATATATATGAGGAGGGATCTGTTTACTCTAGGAGTAAGTCTACCTAAACATACTCCGTTCAATAACTCATGTTCTACATCAAATGTCAACAATCCAACCGTTATGTAAGTCTACCTAAACTTACTCTATTTAGTAACTCATGTTCTACATCAAATTTTAACGATCCAACCGTTCAATTTAAAGTTCTTAATGCATAGATTAAATATGCAAATTTTTAAAAAATTTGAAAATCATTTGATACTTCGTTTCATTAATTCAAATTGACGGATAATTATAAAATCATTTTATACATTGATTCGAATTAATGAAACGAAGTATCAAATGATTTTCAAACTTTTTAAAAATTTGCATATATATTTGATCTATGCATTAAGATCTTTAAATTGAACGGTTGGATCGTCGAAATTTGATGTAGAACATGAGTTATTGAATGGAGTAAGTCTAGATAGACTTAGTCCTGGAGTGAACGGATCCCTCCTCATATATATATATATATATATATGATAAGGGTTCAAACGACACCGGTGTAATTTTTACTAAGTATTACACCGCTCTATATATATAAATATTGATTTACCTCGTTATTAGCACTGAATTTAGAACATAAGTAGGGATGAAAATGGGGCCCCATGGGGGCGGGTAATAGTAAACCCGCCCCCGCCCCACTGGATGAAAATTGAAATAATATTCACTCCATATTCGCGCGGGTATCCATGAATTTCTTAAATACCCACAGATATTCATGGATATTTATAATTTTTTTAAGAAATTAAAAAAATTAATTATAAATAATTTTAAGTTTATATTTAATGTCATTGAAATATTAAAAATAAAAATTCACTGTTAATTTTGAACTTGTATTTAACGTTAATTTTGTTGAAATAATAATAAAAATGCAAGATAATCAATAACTTAAAATACATCAATCTCACAAGTAAGTTAAAGCTTCATCACAAAGCTACAATAATTCAATCTCATAATTCCAAACGAAAGTAAAAAACTTAAAATACATAAATCTTATTGATCGAATCAAAGCTAGAAAATTAATCAAATTACATCCAACATAATTCTATAACATGTTTAACACATGTTGGTAACTTCATCAACCTCACTTTTGTAAGAAAATAAGATGAGAGAGTGTAATTTTAGGGTTATGTAATATAAGGATAATTAGGATATTTAAGAAATATTATTAAACGCGTACCTGCGAGTATGAATATCATCATACCCGCCCCCGCCCCGTTTATAAACGGGTAAAAAATTATTCGTCTCTATTATCTACAAGTACCCAATTAGCATATCCATTTATTATCCGTAGCGGATTTTACCTGCAGATATACATGCCGATGCGAGTATTTTTGTCATCCCTAAACATAAGCATATGGACATCCCGAAGAGTAGCTTTTGTTGAATATTTGCATTCCCTTCTTGAATGATGATGATTTTGACTCTCCAATAAAATTGGATTGTCTTTCATGTTCCTATTCTCTTGTACTTGGTTGGTGTTCATTTAGTATATATCACAAGACCTCCGTAGATTGCACAAGGCAATGGGAGCAAGCATGCTTGGTAAATATAATATTAAGCTTCTTTAGGTGCTTCAATTAATGTGGCAGCAGTATATATATATCCATTATATATATCCTTATGCGCACTGCATTTACATGTCAAAGCACTTAATCCACGCAAAGTGCGCCTTTTGAAGATATTGGAGAATTTTGTAGATGGTGCTAACCACCGTGTATACCATATATCTGGAAATGGAGGTAGCAACTAGATAGTTACACCTTGCCACCATGTGATTTAGTTGAGCCAAAAACCTTCCATATTCTTGCTGCTCAGAATAATTCCAATTTTGTTTTTAAAGTCAATAATTAAAGCTAACAATTATAATCGGCACAATTCAACGCAATTAATTTGATCTTTAATTGTGTTTGGTACTGTGCCAACATTTCAATTAATATATATATAATTTAATTTAATTAAAAATAACATGTTTTTAGGAGTAACACATTTAATCCCGACACGAGTATTATCATCAGCATATTTCCGCGAGTCTTTTCTCCTTAAACAAGAGTATATTGTCTGTAATTTGAAGGTGGGATATACACAGCCCAACACTATCAATTTTGAAGCCAGTATAACTGCTATTCCTACTACATTATTATAACTTGTATAGAAATTTGAGGTGCAGTCAATTTCTTTTCCATTTTCCAATTGTACTCTCGCTTAAAAATTACTATATTTCTTCTATCATTTTTCTGTTTTTCCTTAAAATCCTTCAGTTTTAATAATATTTTTCCTCCTTTTTCTTATCTACCATCATTTCATAATTAATGAGAATAATTTAGTAATAAGGTGTATTAACAATACTTTGTATTAATTAAATGTTTTTTCTAGCTCATGTCAAAATTAACGTTAAACAAAAAGAAGAAGAGATTGAGAAAGAATGAGTAGAATATAAGAAATGTTAGGTATACAAGACGATTGGTACATAAAAAAAAATTTTCATGCATGAGAAACATGATTCATAAAAATCATAAATTCTGAAATTCATATGTCAAATATTGTGACAAATATTAACAATTTTTAGGGACAAATACAATATGGTTTGTCAAATATTGTGTCATACACTACAAGATAATTTTTCTGTATGGTTTGTCATTTAAAATTAAGGAATTTATTAGCAATTTTGAATTTTATTTTTATTTTTTATTTATTATTTAAAGGTTGTGCAACTCCTCTTAAATATCTAAAATACTAAAATTATTATCATTATTATTATTTATAAAATATATTTTAACACACATTACAAGAAATTTGTCATATAGTAATATGCACCTTATAATGATACAAAAATTACCACTAAAAATTACTTTTACTATCGTGTAATTTTTTTCACTGACTGAAAAGTTTATTACTTCTTTATTCATTAAAGATGTCATAATTTAGTTTATAAATATAAGTTATTTTTTTTAATTTTTATTTTAGTTTTTAATCTTTTTAATTTTGTATATGTATATTATGTGTTAGTGGGAGATAGGGACGGAGCCAGGATTTCAATACTGGGGGGCCGAGAATTGGAATGATCAAATGAGGCGCTACATTTTTTAAAAAAAAAAAAATTCCAAAGTGATACCACATAGCAGGCCGTACCAGAAGTCCAAAAGTTGAATAAAAAAATAAATTTGGGTTATTCATTTAATTACACATATGAGTTTATATTAAAAATAGGGGGTGCCATATAGTAATATATATGTATATAAAAAAATATACATATAGGTGGGAGAGGATCCAAATTAAGAGGAATGAGAGTAATTGTCACACAAATTTTTTTATTTATATTTTACTTAAACATATTTAATAAAAATAAATAAATTTACTTATAAAAAAATAGGTGTTGTTCTAATAAAATATTTTTGTTTTAAATGAAGGTAGAAATTTAGAAGAGATACAAAAGAAAATAAATAGTAATTATATTATTTTCATCTTAATAATTTATATCATTTTATTCCTTTAAAATTAAATAAGTCATTAAAAATTATAGCATCACATTTAAATATAATATCTGACAGAAGAAAAAAAAAAAGAAGAAGAGAAATTGTCACTCTATTTATGAAAAAATTTTAATTTATAAAAATAGGTATATTAAATTTTTTTATCACAAAAATATACTTTTAAAAAATTATTATATTTTTAATAAAAATATTATAAAATATTTTATTGCCCCCACTTAACAATTTTTCTAGATCCGTCATTGTCTATATCGATATATTATAAAAAAAAATATGAGTATAAATTATACGTATAGTGACATTTTTTGTATGTTACTATATGTAATATTTCTTGTAGTAAAAACTAAATTTAAAAAGTAAAATTCACTAAGACTCGTTTATTAATATAATATTTAGTTATTAATGTTATATTTTATAAATATAAGAATAAAAATTTGATATAATATAGTATTGATAAAAAAAATTAAAATGATTTATTTCTTATATAGTGTTAATTAATGTATTTATTATATATTATATATAATTAGCCTTGGTAACATTAAGATAAATATTATCGAATAAATTTATTAATATAATATTTTAATAAATATAGTACATATTTATTAAATGTATTACTTTTAATATTAATCTCTATACTTTTAAAATACAAAAAAAAATCACATTTAATATTATTAATATAATATCATCTTCCTTCATTATTTTTATTTTTATATATTAAATATGAATGACTATCTTGCATAAGAATATTTTTATTTTTTAAAGACTTATCATTCAACCCTACGTTCTTTCTCCTACACCACCTAAATCATTTTATAGTTCCAAATTCTTTTAACTTTTTATGTTATTCAATTTTTATTTAATAAAATATTTTTTTAGTATTAGTTTATTTAGTAGATATTATATATAATTCACTTTGGTAATGCTATAAATATTATATTTAGAAAAAAGAGAAAAGAAAAAATGTTCATTGGACTTGCACACAACATTGACAAATAGATGTTATTGAATGAGACGTAGATGTTATTAAATAAGATGACATAGTGAATACATGTGTTTAAATATTATTAGGCAATGGATAAAAAGGTATTGAAATTTATTAACTACAACATGCACACAATATTTAAATACTAAGTAGAAGAATTAGGCTCATTTATTCATGCATATAGATGCTTGTAGTTTAATTACGTAGCTAATACAAATGGACTCCGAACAATATACTTACCATTACTCCATGTAATGGATCCAAATAGATCTTTCTTCAACTTCGTTGAAGTAAAGGAAAAAATAACTTGGTACGATAGTTTTTTATTTTGTTTTGTGAATTGGAGTTTATTTGGTATCAACTTGACATTTACCCCACTGGGAGCATCGACAACAGGGGAATATATTGTTTCATCGTCTTCACCAACATTTGTCACAGTTCTAGTCACATTCACAACTCCTTTCCCATTGAGGTCAGAGATTGCTATCGAAGGGTAGTTAATGTTGGAAATTTGACGAGAACTTGAATCCTCAGGGCAACTGAAATTATCAGGAACGGTTCTAGAAATAATCTTAACCATGGTTATATTATATCCACTGTAACATATATAGTTCAAGTAGTCAATTGCACTGGTTTCGTAAACTAGTCCTGGGTGGAATGGTCCATATATTGTCATTTGCCCTGCTCCAAAGTCATATGGTGTGGCTACTGATCCATTATCCTTTGTTATTGGAGCCTTCAAATTGTTTTTTGGAGTTGCTGCAATGAGAAATATACCAGTTGACGAATTGTTAGATCTTATATATTCAGGATTTCATTTCCCAGCTGGGACATTGATTTTTATTGCTAAATTAGGATTCTTCTTAGTCAAATTATCACTATTTTAATTTTAGTTCTTTACTATAAAAGTTATTATACATCCACATAAATAAACTAATTTTTTAATGTGTCTCTCGGAGACAAATCAGCTCAGCTTCTTTTTTATCTTCCATTTTTGAAAGAGTCTCGTGTGTGATCCTTATTTTCATAAATGAGATCAAATTTTATGAAGAAGCTAGAACTACGTCCATAAGAAATTTCTTGAAAAAGTAATTTAATAAGAAATGTTTTTTATAATCGTTTTTTTCTTATGTTTAAACAAACAGGCCATAATGTGAAGGAATGGTAGGCTAGGCACGTGGAAAGGGAGCCAAAGACAAGCTTGCACACGTCACCTGCATCGCTTATTTTAGTGGAAAAATTAAGAAGCTTGGACATGGCAAAATGTAAACCTCCATTGAAGGTGTGAGGTAGTGGAATTTGGGAACCCATAAGAAAGGAGCGTGAGAAATAAAATGAAATGCACATGGGTTGGAGTTTGAATGAGTGATGAAGATTGATTGGGATGGGAAATAAATCCATCATTTAGTTGTAGTGACGCGTGGTAGGGAAAATGTTTTAGGCTAGTGGGAATTTTGTTGAACAATTAGCGTTGGAAAATTTGGGGCCCGTAGGAAGGTTGGAGTACAAAGGTAAAATATGCGAGTATGCGACATAGGAAGATCAAATGGTGGTGAGATGAGGTGTGGTTTAGGATCCGAGAAAAAGATCAAATGGGCTGTATGTTTTGTATGGAAGGTGTTACTAAATGTGACATTGTATTATGCACTTGAAGTTGAACAGTAGTAGTAGGAGTAAGAGTCACCGACTGATGAGGAAATGTTGAGCTGAAGCAATATGTTGCAATTAATGGTGGAGGAACGTGAAGGTGTTTATGTTGCATGTGAGGAAGAAGCTATTGGTATGCATATGTTGGAGAGGTTGAGGTTGGACGAAATAATCTTTTCTGTGAGGTGAGGGGCTGCGTGGCCGGAATCAATGAAACGTAGAAGATTAGTGTGACGAGAAAATTGGTGGTGTTCTCAGTGGCTTATTTCTGTCAGTTTTTAAGATATGGTAACGAGGCAGTTCCCGTGGTGGTGGAGAAGGGTTAGAGTGGACATAAGTTGATGAAAGCCCCATTTCATAAGAAGCAAAAACTACCCTATTTTTGTTTATAGAATTTTATCAAATAGAGTTAAAAGAAAGTTATATAGAAGATGAAGATAAATACTGATATTTTTCATTGATGTTTTTAAAGACTTAGAGATACAATTATAATTTCAATCACTTTATAAGTGTCATCATCATAATTTGAAAATTATAATAAAATAACATTAATAAATAAATTTCATAATATTTTAGGATTAACCTGTAAAAAATTTAAGTCGCGTAATTTATTTTTCTCTAAATCCATTCTATCATATGTCTACTCAAATTAACAAACGATTAATAGAAGGGTTATATAAGAAATGAAAAAGGAAAAAGGAATTATGAAAAGTACATTATATTTTTTTAAAAAAAAATGGTGTTTTAAGAGATACAAAACATTTTGGTTTGATATTTATTTATTATAAACATAAAGTGTTACCTGTGGTCATTATTGCTGATTTGATTGCAGAGGCACTCCAAGTGGGATTTTGAGATTTAATTGTAGCTGCAAGTCCTGAAACATGTGGGCATGCCATGGAAGTTCCCGAGATGATGTTGAATTGGGAGGGCTTTTTTCCTTTCGGAACACCTTCTTTGTCATTGCCAATCCATGATGCAAGAATGTTAACTCCGGGTGCTGCAATATCAGGCTACAAAGAAAGTGAGACCTACTTAGAGTTGACAATGGCTTGTAATTTAACACAATTTATAATCTTACTTTGAGAATGTTCTTGGAAAGTGATGAAGGCCCTTTTGACGAAAAGGACGGTATCATGGGTGCAGGCTTAAAATCAATTACTGAAAATGTTGGTAGAATTGTTGCCACTGGATTCCTTCAAAATAAATTATGCACATTCATGCAATTAAATTAACTTGTGATCAACTATGATTCAAAGTGAATTCTAAAGTTAAGGGGATGTTTCTAATTAAACACCGAACCATTTCACGATGCATCCTTACCGAGTTGAATTAACATACTGAAGGATTGTGGTGGCATCTATTGAACTTATCTCGGTTACTGGGAAGTCTCCAAAATTATCTCTCTGTGTTCCTCCTAATGGGTCAGTAATATGAACCACACCTATTCCTCTAACATCTTGCACAGCCTGAACTTTTAAACTAGTTGAATATGAATGATCTGTGCCGTCGCATACAACAATCTTTCCTTTCACTTTGTGTTCATCAAATGAGTCTGGAAAACATTGTCTGCATTTCATATTTGATATAATTAACTTTTTACCTAAACCTTTTACAAATAATTAATCAATCAAACTCATGTCTTAAATAGTTAGTAAATTCCAATTTCTTGAAATTTTACTTTTCAAATTAGTTTTTTACTCGTTGGTTGGTAGATTGTGTACATACCTCGCATCAGTTAACTTGGCATCCTTTGCCTTGGCAGACTCTCCATATATCAGTGGGTACTTTGGGGAATTTGAAAGAGGAGAGAAATTTAAGGCTTCCCCCTGAAATTTAATAATAATAATTTTAAATACTGATCACAACTTGCATGAATCATATCATATTATGATATTAACGTTTTCTTTGATATAATTAATTTCTCTTGGCATATCATATATATAATGTATGAAAGTTGATAGATAATTTGTATTAATAATATATTTATTAAAAAATATTGTATTTTTTTAGTTTTTTAATTTAAAATTAGTGATACAATAAATGAAAATGCAGATTTGATTTATGTATTAAGAACTTGTAAACGTAAATTGTTAAAATTTGATGTAGAACGTGAGTTATTAAATAAAGTAAGTGCAAATAAATTTACTCTTAAAATAAATGAATTCATCCTCGTATATATTAGTCCTTGTAATTTTATAAATTTTACATTTTAATTTTTATAAGAATAAATATAAAAGACTAGAAAAAGAACAAAAATAATATATATAGAAACAAAATAATAAACACTTAAATGTAAAATTTACAAAACTATAAACAACAAAAGGATAATTAAATCTAACAAATACAATTTTATTACATTTATATTAAATAGATACCGTAATTTTTGATGACATTAATATTAATAATAAGAGGAATCCTAAAAACACATTATTTAATATTCTTTTTTATTGATTAAAATTTATTAAAAATCATAAAATTAAAAGAAAAATAAAATCATCAAATAAAGCATGAGACTCACTAATTTTTTATATTTTCCAATAACCAAACAAAAAGAATGTGTAAAAAAGAATAATTTTCTAACCGTTTTCTTAAAATTAATACTATAAATTGAGATAGTATAAGAGAATAAGAGTAAATACCTTGATGAGTTTGTTATGACCCAAGACAAGGTTGGACTTAAAATCCCGGTCTATGGAAGAGGCTGCAACGGTGAAAATCCAAGGTGCGTCATTGACAACGGTGTTTAAGCTGGGTCCGCTGTTTCCGGCGGAGCAAACGACGAGGATGCCGCGCTCGACGGCGTGAAAGGCTCCAATGGAGATTGTGTCGTCCTTCAACTCGGGGTTGAAACCAAAGAAGGAACCAACGGAGAGCGAAATGACATCAACTCCGTCAGCGATGGCATCGTCAAACGCCGCAAGAACAGCGGAGCCAGGGCACTCATATTGGAAGCACACTTTGTAAATCGCCAATCGCGACTCTGGAGACCCACTCTTGGTTGTCCCCGCCGCCACGCCGTAGAATGATGCGTCGGCCACGCTCATTCCCGCCGCTGTCGATGCCACGTGGCTTCCGTGGCCGTCTTTGTCCCTCGCTGTCTCATACTCTCTGTTTCCTTCCGGGTCATGGTAATACCTTGCTCCGATTATCTTCCTAATCAAAATCAAAATCAAAATCATCATGTAATAGAGCTTTATGCATTAGGCTTCATTCACAACCTTTTTACCTGTTACAGTGAGATGAATTGAAGTCGTACGATTTCATGCAGCTGCCTTTCCACCGAGATGGAACAGGGCCCATTCCCTCGTCGCTAAAACTCGGTGATTCTGGCCATATACCTAAATTCCCATTTTGTATCCATTAGTTAATTATTCAAATAATATCATTAATTTAATATTTTTAAAAATCAGGATTTAATTTTTTTGGTATTAGTATGAAGTATTATTGTTGAAAATGATGAATTATTTTTGTTTGAAATTGTGAGTGCACATCAGATAAATGTTTTTCTCCTAAGTTTATTTTATATATAATATTAGAATTCAAATTTTAAATAATTTGGTTAGGAGACACGATAATAGTATTTGTATTAACTAGTGTTGGTTTATATAATTCAAAACTTTACATTTTAGTTTTTGTATTTCTTATCTCGATCAAGTTGAGCTAGCCTTCATTTGTTCATTCATGTTAAACTTCTAGTCTATCAGCCTAAAGTGAAACCTTGGCAATTGACTTTTAATAGTTATCTTGACCTAAATATCTTCTAGTAAATTGTAATCAAACATATTATATTTTCTTAACAAAAATTTTTTACTTATTAGAAATAATATTTTCATTAGACAATAATAATATCTTTGCACAATTATTGGAATATATCTTCAAGATATGATATATGAGGATATAGGATATCATTTTATCTTAATCTTATTCTTAACTTAAATTTTTCTCTAACTTAAGTGTTGGAATATCTCTTTAGATGATTTTCACTATTGCGAATATTGGAACAATCAGGATACTATTCCCACTATTAAAATACTTGCAATTTTTTTTTTTTGTAAGAAAAGCCTCTATAATTACAATTGTCTCATTTTAATCTTTATATATATCATTTTTGCTTCTTTTTAGCTTTGTCATCTAACTATATTAAAATTAAAAGAAAAAATTTATATAACTATAAAGACTAAAAAAAATAAAGTTTATTTATATTGATATATAAAGATCATTTTATGTTTTGATATACACATTAATTATTTTTTTTTTATAATTTTAACCCATTATAAAAATTACATGATAATAATTAACAAGAGTTACAAAATTCTTTTTTTCTGTAAAAGTTTTATAATTAAAACTATTATTGAATTATAACAACTACAACTTCTCCCACTAACATGTGTGAAAAATGAGAACGATGAGTACAGTAAAAAAAAATTTGCACCAGTATATATAAAAACTAAAATAAAATATTTTTAACTAAAGAGTAAAATGTAAAATTTAAAGTATAAGGAAAAAAAAAAAAAGAATAGTGTCGTAAATAATATTATATATAGAAAAGTTATTTTTTATACTTATAATACCTGAGTCAAAGATGCCAATGATGACGTCTTTAGAGGGAGCAGAATTGGAGACCTTGCTTGGGTGGTGGATTTTGACGGTGATACTTTGGTTCTTAAGAAAATCCCAAGAACGGGTTGTGTGGAGCTTCAGAATGGGATCAGGAAAGACAGAAACCACCCCTGGTTTCTGGGAAATTGACTCTGCCTCCTCTTTTGATAAACGAGCTGCGAACCCTGAGAAACCATGCTTGTAATTGCGAACTAGAGCCTTCTCATTCCTTCCAATCAAATTAATGTACTAATTCATTTCAGGCATTGCTATTGCTATACAAATACAACTACCACAGTTTTTGTATCGCATTTATAACACTATAAATTTCAAATGTTACCTCGTTAGCACTGAATTCAGAACATGAGCGTGGTCATTCCGAAGAGAAGTTTTAGTTGAATCTGCTGCCCCCATATACACAATATAAACTTCACGGTCACTTCCATTCCCTTCTTCAATCATGTCTGCTGATGATGATTTCGACACACCAAAAAACACTAAGAAAATATAGAATAATAGCAAGAAAGTAATTGGATTGTCTTTCATGTTCATATTCTCTGGCACTTTATTGGTGTTCAAGTAGCTTGCATGTATATATATAACACTAAGATACGGGTTAGTCAGATCATCTCCGATAATCTGATTAAAAAAACTCATGAGAATATGCAACTCATTTTAAATTTTTAATTTATTTTTTTTATTTTTCAATACTATATAAAATTTAAGAATTTTTTTATATCCTATTTCAATGGAAAAACTTTAATTTGCATTTTTTTTTGTTCGTTCCTGGAGTATCCACGCAGATAGCAGTGACTAATTTTCTCACTACGTTGGAGGTACCTCAAAGGATGGAATAGCTGGTCCCAAAATTTAACGCGGCTGCATACACAAGACATAATTTGAACCCCTGACTTTATATTTTTATTTTACTTTATATGAGTTTTTCAATAAATTTTACTATTTTTATACTTTGTTTAAAATTATTCTATTAAAAATAAAATAATATTTTATTATTAAGATTTCGTTCTTATTAGTTATTTATATATAATCTTATCTATGTCAGAATTTTAAAAATGATTCTTGCCTATCGTTTAAGAAATAATATCGAAGATGAACATGGAACTTAAAAAAAGGAATACAAAAATCTGCGATGGCTTAGTTATGTGCTCACTGCAATTATGCGGCAAGCACAAAAATCCACAATGCGCCACTCGAACATTTAAAAATATAAAGCTTATTTAAATATAAAAAAATCCGCATTAAGCAATCAAATCCGCACAAAGTACTACTAGTTTGTTTAAATAAAAAATACTTTAAAAATATAGTTTCAAAAAATAAGAAATTAGGAAGAGTTGTTTTGTAAAAATAAAATTACCTTTTTAAAAAATAGACAAACATATAAAAATTATTATTTCAAATGTCTATAATAAACATCGTCTTAAATTATTTTATACAAATTATAAAAATAATAATAAAAAAATAATAGAGATTAATAATTTTAACAATTAATCTATCTTTATTATAATTGATCTAATATAATAATTACTTTCTAATAATATTATAAAAATATAAATAAAAAAATAAATAATTAATATTTTATTAAAAAATTAAAATGATATTTATTGTGGGATTTTTTTTTTCAAATACAACACTTATTATAGAACAAATTCATAAAATTTATAAATGTCAAATAATTTTTAAAATGTAAATTAATAGATGCATTAGTCCACTATTAAAATGGCACATGACTTATCAAAGTAATAATATCAATATATTATAAATAAATAAAAAAGTAAAATAACAATTAATGATTAAATTTAAAAATTTGTTTAACAGTTTATAGAATTATTAATTATTTTCTTATATTAAGAGACTAATATAATAACACTTATATTTTAGGACTAAATCACTGTTTAGTCCTTAAAAAATTGTGTATGGTGCTGGCCACCGTATATGCAATATCTGGTTGTGGAGAGGCAGCAATATACATAATACACATTGAAGTTGCAAGTTGGCAATTAGTATTCATATATTATATATCTCTATACATATACACCACGTGATTCAGGTGAGTATAAAAGTTTGGTCAGAATAATTCCATTCTTCATGTTTTATAAGTTAACTATTGATGATTAACAATTATAAGCGACAATTCCACTCATGTTCACCTTTAATTGCTATCATGTCTTCTAATGTGGATCTGTACCGTAATGCATATATAGTATATACAAAGTGGGTTTTAGCAAGGTCAAAAAAGATATACTTTCATCTCAAATTCTTTGCATCGTTAATCTTAATTATGTGATTTGTTGCGCCTCAATCTTAAAAAATTATATATATACACACATATACATATATATTATTCTAGTATATTACTTAAATCGATGATTGTCCTAATATATTAAAGTGAGTAAAAATTATCTCCTTATATGTTATATTTTCATTATATTATTGATGTAAAATTTTTAATAATTAGTGTAGGATAAGGAAAAATAATATTTATAATTTTCTCTTATCTTCAAGTTCTTTGTATAATTAGACTCTATGTAAGTAATTAATTAATTATTTACTTTTCATGTAAGTTTTCATAATTTTATCATTAAAAAATATCTTTGTCGGTTAAACGTTGAAATTATTTATAAATTATCTTTAGTCTAAGTTTTTAAATGATGTATAACATTTTGATACATTAAAAATATGCAAGAGATAAAATTAAAGGAGAAAAGTAGCTTAGACTCTTCTTTTAGCACATAAATGTTTCTAACTCAAATTTTTTATATCATTAAAGTCACTACACAATAAGTATTGTTTATTTTTTATGTTTAATATATCATGCAATTTCATTCTTAAAAGACATAAATAAAATAGTGCACAAATATTTTAGGTTTCTATTTAAAAGACATAGAAAAAGTGTGTTTATAAACTATGATTACCTTTACTCTCAAGTAATATAAGACCTTATAAAAATATTTTTTATTCTTTATTTATGTTTTCTTTTACTCTCGTCTTTTTTTTTAACTTATTTTCTCTAACACGTCGTTGCTCATCCCACTCTTTTCACTTTATATATATATATATATATATATTTCCTTTCCTTTTTTCTATCTACTCACCTTTCTTTTCTTTGTATTACAATACATACCATTTCCCTTTTTTTTATAGGATTCAGGACCTAATGTCGTGTCTTTTATTTTTCACTTTTTGACCATTATTTAATTGTTAATCACTATTTTTTCAATTAGTTAGGATTTTGCCTAATTTTTTTTTATTCTACTTCTATTCTTTATTATTTATTTTGGATTCAACTTTCAAAATAACCTTTTTTTTTTCTTTTCTCTCTAAATTCACTTGGATGCATTACAACTGTCTTCATTTTTATCTTTTTCTTTCTATTTTAATTTGGTTTGGGCTTAGTTCCCCGATTTGAAACATTTTCTCTCTTTTCTGATTTGGTTAAGGCCGATGCACACAACTGTCTTCATTTCGTAATGGGTTTGGGGCTTTTTTTTACAATTGTTGTTCACTTTTTTAAAATAAATTATGTAAGTAAGATTGCTTTAAAATTATTTACGTTTTCTAGACTGTTTTTGGTAGGCACTATGATCATAACGATATAAGTGATACATGGAAAAAATAATCACCAACGACTCTAAAAAAAAATTGAAAAAATAAACCTAAAATAGATAAATAAAAGTCGTTATAGTTTATAACAAAAAACTTATATTCTTAAATTTGTAATATTTAAAAAAAAAATGAATCACTTTTTTTTTTCATTTAATTGAATTTATTTTTCTAAATGTTTGAGAAAATGAAATTGATTTATTTTTTAAAAAAATGGTATATTTATCAAATGAATCTTGCATTTTTTAAATTTTTAAATAAGTTATCTTTATTTATCAATTTTAAAAAAAAATAAATGAAAAAACTCAAAACTTAATTAAAAAAAAATGGGGAGATTGTTATGGCCACTCACAAACACACTCAGACACACACAGACACAGACACGCACATGCACACACACAATTTTGGATTGGAGTTTGTCTGGACAAAGAGGTAATTGGTCTAGAGAAAGAGGTAATTTTGGAATGGAGTTGAGATTGGAATTGGTCTGGTTGGACTGGAGTTGGTCTGGAGAAAGAGGTACTCGTACTCCCTTGACGCTATATAGACGTATGTAGTATGTATGTGTATAAATTAACTTTAATTTTATCAAAATTAATTTAAAATATAATGTTGAAGGTCAAAAAAATATTAATTGCTTTAACTTTTCAATTTTACACCATAATTTTAAGCTTCAAAATTGATTCTATACATGAATGTAAATAGGTCGAGATTAATCCGCTGGCCAATTCAACCACATCACATTTTAGTGGGTGAATTTTGTTAGGTTAGATTGAACATTTTTTTTTCTTCTAATTTAATTATAATTGAGTTGAATAAAATGTCAGTGAAGTTTTAACACAATCAACTCAACTTAATAATAATAATAGTAATAATAATAATAATAATTAAATTTTAATTATGTAATATTAATCTAATGAATTTACTAAACATGAGACACTGTTAATGTTATTAACTTTACTAACTTACTTTATAGGAATGATGTTCACAACATAACCTTTTAACTTCTTTTTTTTTAACTTTAGTTTGTTCGTTTTTATTATGTAATTCAAATAATTGTTGGTGTTGTTTAGAACATTATTGATATTTTTTGTTAGTGTTTTTCAGTCTTCTAGACCATATATTACATTATTTGTAATTTTTATATTATATGAAACATATATTATAACTTTTATATTATATGTACTGGCTGTATTTGCCTAAATAGTATGGAACATGTAAACTTTTATATTATGTGGACTACCTGTTTTATACCATAGTCGAATCTAATAAAATAGTCACATCACACAAAATTAAACATTGAACAAGAAAAATGAGATACTAGTATATAAAATTTACAGGTTCATTGGTGTTAAAAAAAAGTATGAGACCTGAAAGAATAGAGGAAAGAAAAAATGCAAAAAAATAAATAGACATGTTAAAGATGATATTAAAAATATTCCGAAACTTGAATTATTAAAAAAATTTGATTTAAATAATAAAATATTAAATTAAATAATTATTTTATAAAAAATTTATTAAAAAATATTATTTTAATCATTCATACGCTGATTCTGAACCTGATTCGCAATGCTCAATATTAAAATGTCTAAGGTCGAAAAATCACGATATCTTGATTCCAAAACCTATCTAGTACACTTTATAATTACAATAAATAGAATCAAAATGATTATTTAATAAAAAGTTATGATTTTGTTTCAAAGTATTATTAAAGTAAGGGGCAATATGAGAGGATTGGATTGTGTTTCCATAAAAGAAAAAAAGAATAGAGAGAAAATAAGATGATGGGTTGGATAGAAAAAAAAGAGGTGGATCCTTTGTGAGAAAATAAAATAAAGGGTGATGTCCTTGTTGCAGTTCAGAGTTCAGAGTAAGATTGCTGAATTTTTGACCCCTCTGCTTTCCAAATTGTGCTTCTCAAAATGGAGATGTTGA